GCAGTTGGAGTACTGCGTGCAATTCTGGGCGCCGCACTTCAAGAGGGATGCGGATAACCTGGAGAGGGTCCAGAGAAGGGCCACTCGTATGGTTAAGGGCCTACAGACCAAGCCTTACGAGGAGAGACTAGAGAAACTGGATCTATTCAGCCTCCGCAAGAGAAGGTTGAGAGGCGACCTTGTGGCTGCCTATAAGTTCATCACGGGGGCACAGAAGGGAATTGGTGAGTATTTATTCACCAAGGCGCCCCCGGGGGTTACAAGAAATAATGGCCACAAGCTACTCTTTCCTGCTTATGCAGGGGGTCGGACTTGATGATCTATTGAGGTCCCTTCCGACCCTAACATCTGTGAATCTATGAACTAAGATCTGTGATATGTCATTCTGGATCCCCAAAATTGCAGGTCCTGTAATGCTGGGTGTGCTTGATAAGACATGAGATTTTTGGGATCTGGGATAAAATTCTTCAAATCTCAATCATGCAACTGCAAGCATGCAAGAAGCCTGGCACTGGGGACCAGGCCAGCTGCAGGCATGCTTTTTAAAGCTCAGCATCAGGGCCCAGGTTCCGTCTGTACCAGGAATGTCAAATACATGGCCCAGGGGCCAGATACAGTCCACAGAACCGTATGATCCAGCCCAGGGGCCACTGGACCACCCCCTGCGCTGCTTGCAGCTCCGGGTCTATCCCACATACCATGCTGGCCCCACATGCACAGCAAGCCTCTGGGCCAACACGGCTGCATGTGAAGTGTGGGACTGGAGCCCATGTCATGGGCATGCACAGGAGGTCAGTCTGGACTGGCCCACAGAGTGGCCCAGCGACCCTCATCGGCCCACAGGGCCAGATGTTTTACATCCCTGCTCTATAGCATAGCAAGCATGGTGAGGGCTCTCTACTTTGCTGGTTCTAAGGTTGTGGAGCAATCATATAGGAGGAAAGAGATAGGAAGGAATGGATTAAAGACAATTGCTCTACAGTTTGTTATTCAAGCAATAACCCCTTCTACATTGTTTTCTACAAAGGACCCAGTTCTGACCTCTGGGAAACACTTGAATAAGCCTAGAATAGAAGGTTATAATTCTTGACACTATGTACATACTGGTGTTAGAAATAATCAGCTAGCACAGCTTGCTTTGGCAAGGAGCCCTGTGTCTTGGAGGAGCAGGACAAGGAAGAATGTACTTCATATTAGTTTCCATCCCATACAAATCCATTGTCTGATCTATTAGCATAACTACAGTCAACCCCAACTCAACTACAAGACATAACCCCCTAACTTGCCACAGGTAAAGCGGGGGTACCACAGGGTGTTAAATGTGGTGTAAGAGTGTTGTTGCCATGACTGCTTAGAAATTATGTAAGGCTTGGATTTCCTAGGGTGATGTCTTTCATTGGACCAACTGTACATTTGGGATAGAGTTAGGCAAGCTTTTGAATGCAAGACATTCTCCTTCAGGTCTGACTAGAACAAGCCAGGCACAGCATAGTGAAAAGCAGTTGCAGGAAGGGATGAGAGAAAGTGCCAGGGGTAGTTAAACACACTTAAGTGATCTAGGGAAGAGGGTCACACCTCCTCTCGCACTACAGAGGAAGGCAACACCCCCCTTCAGTCCATGCCAATCTGACCACGAGGGAAAATTCCTTCCTGGCCCCAAATATGGCAGTTGGTTTGACCCTGAGTGGAAGAGCAAGACCGTCTGACCAGGAGTCTCTGTGTTTCAGCCCCAGCAGGAGCATAGGCAGACCCCAGTCAAAACCCCCAGCCTCAGCTGCAGCCAATACCCAATGCTTTTGAGAAAAGCCACACAAAAAAAAGCCTGAATGCACATAGCAGCAGGTGGGAAATATTCCCTCCCAGCTCTATGCAACAGCCAGCAATTCCTAGAAGCCTAGGAAATCCCCATAGTAGAGCATATGTATAGCTACACCTATATCATCCCTGACCAATGCTTGTCCAACCTCTTCTTGACAACCTGCAATGACGGAGGTCCCACAGCTCCCTGGACTATTCCACTGCCTCACTGTTGTAGCAGTGAAGAGGGGTTTCCTGACATCCAGTCTAAATTTACTCCTAACGGCAGCCCTTCAGAGATTCGAAGGCTGCTATTATGTTCTCCCCTTCTACGCCTTTTCTGCAAGCTGAACATGCCCAACTCCTTCAACCTCTCCTTGTATGATTTGCCTTCCAAGCCCTTCATCATGTTTGTCACTTGCCTCTGGACACTCTCTTCTTATTGTTCACCTGATGCCAGGTTTCTGGCAGGTTTAACACTGCCCAGGCATCTAGCAAAGTTATTTTTTCTGTCAATCAGATGAGGATAATGCTAGTAGGAGTTGAAACCCAATGCCTAGAGGCTTTACAAACTGCCTAGAGCAACGGTATCATTCAAAAGAGGGTCACAGTCAGTTCAGCTGGCCATTTGGAAAACGTCTGTGTCAAAAAGAACAATAGAGAAGAGCAATAAAAGAGACAAGGGAGCAGAATCTTTTTTGCTGACACAGAACCACTGGAAACAGACTAACCGCTGACTAGTAATTTATGCAAAGACACCTATATATTTTTGGTTTGTCCCTTTCATTTAGCTATTAACTTGTCAGCCATTGCAGTTCTCTGGGACAGAACGTGTGTTATTTGCCTGCACGTGCCCTGTGACAACCATTTTTTGACTAACCCTCGCCTACTGCCAGCAAGCCCAAGTTTTACCAGTTTTAGTTCCCCCTCAGTTGAAGCCACTGTCCAGTCTATTTTGTCTGGATCTTCCAGGTGTATTTGATGAACATATTTTATAGCTTAATTTTATTCAAATAAATTGTTTGGTATTTTTATATTTCGATCCCTTCAGGGGATCAACAGTATAGGTGTTTTGAAGGTTATAGCTGTGAAAAGATCTTAAAAATCATAATAAAATTATAAAAACATGTCTGTCCAGAGAAAACATTGGTAAACAATCTGGTCCACTAAGTATTCAAGACAGCAACATGGGATCATCTTTGTCCAGACTGAAAGAGTTAAAAAAGGTATTGTTTTGGGTTTTTTTAACATTTGTTCTGAGCTTGGAGCTAATATGCTCTTCTACACTCTAATTCTCTCAAAACTAGCCACTTTGGCTGCGTCCCCATGAGCAGGGGCATGCGGTTGTGCTGTTGTGTTTTTGCCCTAGCGCACACCCCTGTACGTGGGGTTAGTGCAGGGAAAAATGCTCCAGGTGGGGCAGAGGAGGCTGAGGCCGGCACCTGTGCTAGCCCCAGCAGCCTTACCTGGGGTCGTCCCGGGGCAGCAGCGGCCGTGATCAGGCAGCAGGGAGCCTGGCCAGCAGCCAGATCATGGCTCTCTGGTTGGCCAGGGTCCTGGTCTGGTGGCACAAGCTCCTGCCACATGCACTGCACCATATTTTCTTTGTGGTAGTTTTTATTGACACTGGGATTTCCCAGTGTCAAAGAAAACCCACCGCACTACAATTTCACAGCGTGGCAAATATGGGCACGTGTGCAGTTTGTGGCGCCACAAACCACACATACGTGCTCACCTATAGTTTCATAGTTTCAGGGTCGGAAGGGACCTAATAGATCTTCTAGCCCGACCCCCCGCCAGGGCGGGAGAACAACCCAAAAAACACAAACAAAACCACTCACCCTAAAAACAAAAACGGGACTCAAATGAGTCCAGCCAGGTAAGTATCCAGCCTCTTCTTAAAGATCCCCAGGGTAGGGGCCAGCACCACCTCCCTTGGAAGTTGGTGCCAGCTCCTAGCCGCCCTGACTGTGAAGTAGTTTTTTCGGATGTCCAATCTGTACCTCCTCTCCATCAACTTGTGCCCATTATTCCTTGTTATGCCAGCAGGGGCTAGGGGAAACAGCGTCTCCCCCAAACCCTTCTGGTTCCCCCTAGTGAGTTTATAGACGGTCACCAGGTCCCCCCTCAGCCTTCTCTTGTGGAGGCTGAATAGGTTCAAGTCCCGCAGTCTCTCACTGTAGGGTCTGCCCTGTTGTCCCCGGATCATGCGGGTGGCCCTCCTCTGGACCCTCTCCATGTTGTCCACATCCCTCCTGAAATGGGGCGCACAGAACTGGACACAATACTCCAGCTGCGGCCTGACCAGCGTCGCATAGAGGGGGAGGATCACCTCCCTGGCTCTACTTGAGATGCACCTGTGGATGCATGACAAGGTCCGGTTAGCCCTGCCAACCATGACCTCGCATTGTCGGCCCATGTTCATCTTGGAGTCAATAATGACACCAAGATCCCTTTCCACCTCCGTGCTCTCAAGTAGGGAGCTCCCCATCGTATAAGTGTGCTGCTGGTTCCTACTACCCAAGTGCAGCACCCTGCACTTGTCCGTATTGAAACACATCCTGTTCCTGTCTGCCCACCCCTGTAACCTATCCAGATCCTTCTGCAATCTCTCTCTCCCTGCTAGCGTGCTCACCTCCCCCCAAATTTTGGTGTCATCAGCAAATTTAAACAGGTTGCTTTCCACCCCAACATCAAGATCGCTGATGAAGAAATTGAACAGCGCAGGGCCCAGGACCGAGCCCTGAGGGACTCCACTACCCACCTCCCCCCAAGTCGAGAAACCCTTTCTGCCCGAGAAGCCTCTGCATTTCAGTTCATTAAATTAACATTTACAACTTGGTGAGCTATCACTGAGCATGACAGATCTTGATGTTAAGAACTTAGCAAAATACTGGACATGCCTTGGGTCTTGGATGTAACTCAGGGAAGAAGACCCCCATGACATGCCAAACAGCAATGAATTTGTAAATCTAAATAGTTGGTGCTTGTTTAAATAGATAAGTAAGAGAAAATCTGAGCTACAGGAAGGAAAACAACCCAAACTGAATGAGGAGAAGAGAAACCGTATCTTGGATGGCTGGTTAGATTTAAATATTCTTTTTCTGGTTGACTTAGGTTTCCATGTAAAATCAGGCACCTCCCAAGAAAAGCAGTACAGGATCTGAAAAGAAGAAAAGAAGTGAGGTGGGGGTCCCACTAACCTGTTAATAAAACCAGCTTCTTCCCTAGTATCCACAAGAAGTATGTTTGCTTGTCCAACAGTTACACTTCCACCTCTGGATTTTCCACAGTGCCTCTGTGCTTTTAGATGCGAAACCCTTCAGAGCAGGGAGCCACTTTTTTGTGCGCTGTACTCTGCTGAATACATTGTGATTACTAAATTCATTTGATACAGCAACTACAGCATCAGCTTACAAATTACATCAACCAATAAAGGGTAAGGACAGCATTTCAGTTCTGAAATGAGACCTTTTCTGAATGCAGCGCTTCCTCTTTCCTCTCTCCCCTTGCTAGAAATCCAAGCAAAGACAGCAATGAGTAAGTCTTCCAACAGCAGCTATATTCAGAAAGAATAAAATTCACTCCTGAACTGAAAACCAGCACAGAGGCTCATCACCCTTCAGTATTATGAAAAGATGACAAAATAGAAAGAAAGCAGTGCTTTGGCACTGACCCTCGCACGGGGATGAATTTTAACCATCATAGGCTTGGCTGAACACTAATGCCCCAGGAGAAGAAGGAATCATGTTGCTCTTTCTTAGGAAGAATTCAAGACAAATTCCCCCAAACCCCAGGAATTCAGGATACATTTGCAGGACCATTACCTCAAGTCCGTTGCCCAGCCAGAAATCACTCTGACAAGTTACCCCATTTCTCAGGTTTCCTACTAACCAGAATCGCTGTCTCTCTCATGCAGCTCTTACCACGCTCCCTGATGTTGACTCCGTGAGCAATTATAAACAGCAGCAGGCCGACTCCAGTGGCATGTGGGATCCTGCCCTAGAGAAGTGAACTATACTAGTGACTCTGCACAGGAGCAGGTAACCGAGGTCCTCTCTGACAGCAGCCCACAGAAATGGACTATGTTGGTATCTCTGTACACAGCAGGTGACTCATGGGCCATGGCTGAGAGTAGTGACTGCTGGAGCTCATTTTGGTCAGAATTGTTCTCTGTACCCGAGCCCCTGTGATTCCTTAGAAAATGGACACCCAGACCCCAAAGCTGATGGGCGCCTATTAGGAAAACAAGGCAGTTTGTCTCCATCCCCCCGGAGCTGCACCTGCTTTCCCCCGTCCCAGTCCAGCCACCGAAGACAATGACAAACCTCCCGCTGGCCGTAGGGGAGCCAACTTTCTGCCCAGGTGTGGGAGACCTATCACAGAGCTGTGGCTCTCCCAAGGCCTGATGCTCCCAGGGCCAGAAAGCAGAGGTGACAGCAGCATGATTGATCCAGTGGTGGCACATGCAGCAGCAACCCAGGAGGATGGATCAAAGACCAAGCTGCTCCTGGTGCCACCTCCTTCCGCCCTGGCAGGGGTGGGGCAGGGCAGGGAAAAAGAGGCCATGCACGGAGTCAACAGAACCAGGTCGGACCTGACCAGAGCGGAGCCAGAACCAGCGCCAGCACCAGCACCATGGACAGCCCGGCCTGGCTGCTGCTCCCTGCTGGGTGGTGCTACTGCTGCGGGGCTGTGGGCTGGGGCCCAGGGTGTGCAGAAGCCTCCTGCCTCCAGGGAGGAGCTGGCGAGGGCAGGCCAGGACACAGCCAAGGGAGCAGGGATAGGCAGGTCAGGGCTCACCAGTTGCCCGTTCCCACCCACTGGTCCCACTTGCACCTATGGCAAGTCTCTGCCAGCCATAGACGGTGCCATGGCCCAGGCCCCGCAAGTGACCATGTCCCCAGGGCAGGGCGGGGGTAGAAGTAGGCACCACAGCTACCCCTCTGGGAGGGGTGAGGATGAGGGCACCAGAGGCCAAAATGCTAGGCCATGCCCAGGCAGGTTCAGGATTCATAGACATCAGGGCTGGAAGGGACCTCGGAAGATCATCGAGTCCAGCCCCCTGCCCAAAGGGCAGGAAGTCAGCTGGGGTCATAGGATCCCAGCAAGATAAGCATCCAGTTTCATCTTGAAGGTGTTCAATGAAGGCGCTTGAACCACCTCCGGTGGCAGGCTGTTCCAGACCTTGGGGGCTCGGACAGTAAAGAAGTTCTTCCTTATGTCCAGCCTGAAACGATCTTGAAGTAGTTTGTGACCATTCGACCTCATCATCCCTTGGGGCGCTCTGGTGAACAAACGTTCCCCCAGATGCTGGTGGTCACCCCTGATAAACTTGTAGGTGGCCATCAGATCACCCCTGAGCCTGCGCTTTTTCAGGCTAAAGAGCCCCAGGGCTCTCAGCCTTTTGTCGTAAGGTCTGCTTCCCTGACCTCTGATCATGCGCGTGGCTCTTCTCTGGACTCTCTCAAGCTTCTCCACATCCTTTTTGAATTGTGGAGACCAAAACTGGATGCAGTACTCCAGCTGCGGCCTCACTAAGGCCGAGTACAGGGGGAGAATGACGTCCCGGGATTTGCTTGAGAAGCATCTAAAGCATCCTTGGGAGCCCGTTCCAGACCTCGGCCACTCTAACTGGGAAGAAGTTCTTCTTGCTTAGCAAATCTGGAAATCAAGTAGGGAAGATGCAGAGTCACCCTCAAAGATCTCTGATTATAGACGGATAACTTGTATTTTCCATCATGACTGTGTTGCAAGTAGTAACCATTTTTTCCCAACTTGCCCCAAAGTTTGGTGTCATCGGCGAACTTGGCCAGTCCGCTTCTGACTCCAGTGTCCACATCATTAATGAAAATGTTGAACAGTATGGGTCCAAGGACAGAGCCCTGGGGGACCCCACTGGTCACAGGACACCACGATGAAGCAGCACAGCTGCCACTGGGCAGCCAGGGACACTTTCTCCCTCTTACCCAGCGTGGGTTGCAATACCACACACCCTCTGGAAATGCCTGCACATTGCGAAGCTCTGCCCCGTGCCTGCAACACCTTGCCCATGGGTGGCACCCCTCATTCGTGGGCACACTGGAGGGGAGGGACAGGATCCATCTCGATCTAGACAGGTTACAGATATGGGTGGATGAGAATAGGATGGAGTTCAACGCAGACAAGTGCACGGTGCTGCATCTAGGGAGAAGGAACCTGCAACACGCCTATGGGCTGGGAACTCCCCTCTCAACAACACAGTGGCTGAAAGGGATCTTGGAGTCATTGTTGGCTCCAGGATGAACGTGAGCCGCGAATGTGAGGACGTGGTCAGGAAGGCCAACCGCACCTTGTCGTGCATCCACAGATGCGTCTCGAGCAGGGCCAAGGAGGTGATCCTCCCCCTCTACATGACACTGGTCAGGCCGCAGCTGGAGTACTGCGTCCACTTCTGGGAGCCGCACTTCAGGAGGGATGTGGGCATGGAGAGGGTCCAAGGGAGGGCTACTTGCATGGCCAGGGGGCAGCGGGGCAGGCCCTACGAGGACAGACTAAAGGGCCTGAAGCTACTCCACAAGAGAAGGCTGAGAGGGGATCTGGTGGCCGTTTACAAACTCACCGGGGGGGACCAGCAGAAAACAGGTAAGGCTCTGTATCCCCGAGCACCACCTGCGATAACAAGGAATAATGGCCACAAACTGACCGAGAGCCGGTTCAGGTTAGATATCAGGAAGCGTTATTTACGGTCAGACCTGATGATCTGTTCAAGTTACTTCCGACCCTAGTAGCTACGAGACTCCCTCTGCTCGGCCGCACGCGTGATCGGCTGGATAACACCTTCTCCCCAGGCGTCTGTCCTCAGACTGCAGGTCCAGGCCGGAGCGGTCAGTGCCGCCAGGTGGCTGCCGCTGGAACAAACCCTGCGGCCCGCCACCGAGCGCGTGCCATCGGAGCTGTGGGCCAGGCTGGACCACTTCCCACTACACCCGGAAACCGGCGGGGTGGCAAGGCTACAGCGCCGTGGGCGCCGCTTGGACCACGCCTGCGCGCCGCTTTGCTGTGGGAGTCACGCGTGAGCGCAGGGGGAGGAGACCGAGCTGGAAGCAAAGGGAACGGAAGGGCGCAGGTCGGCACTCTGACGCCGGGGACACGACGAGGGGACAGACCGCAGACGGTCGCCCAACACCTCCTGCGTCCCACCCACCGTGCCGCACACGCCCCCGCGCTGCCCAGGCCCAGGCCCTCAGCCGGGCTCCCCGTCACCCACATAACGCCACGCGCCTCTGCCGCTTC